AAGACAGGACGGACCGCTGTGGAGAAAACTCATAGTTCTGTCTTTAGATTGATTTTATTTATCCGCCATAGGGGAGTTTTCAGCTGTAGAAACGCCTTTGCGGCAGCATCGACGCGCGATTGTACCTCGTCCCCAGCTTGGCCAATAGGTAGTATGGCTGCTATCAGGTATTTAAAGCCTTCATCGGATTCCAATGGCTCGCCATTTATTTGCCAAGCAGCATTGGGATGAACTAGTACTGTCGCAAAGGTTTTGGTTTAGATTGTATTTACCTCTAGGCCGATCTCGGTGGTCTGTCGACTGATTTGGTCAAAGGTTGATTGGAGGTTGGACATTTCCTCATCAAAGACGACAATAACATTAAACAATTCTAAATTGGGGAGCCAGGAGTTAGAAGATATCTGAACTCCCCGATATCCCTCCACCGAACGACAAATTTGAACAGCATTAGGGACAGTGAAAACCTCTGTCGTACTTCAGATTACAAGACAAAAGCGCTTCAATCCCCGGTGAATTCGGGTACTAGTGTTGTGAGATACTACTCACTTGTGAGTAGTCGGTAACTTTCGGTGATTAAAAATAGAACAAGACCATCAAGGACCAAATAATATATTTGGGAAGAATAAACACTGCCTGCTCTACCCCTTGCCCCATGTGTCGCGATGTGCTGCGAAGGCATGTTTCTGATGAGCTTTTCGTGTTATGCATGCAAAATTAGTAACCTTCAATCTGTATTCTGCAATAAAGGACTCTCCTCGACCAGCACCGCCTTTTCGGAATATAACAATTGATGCCGTCGCCAGGATCAGGATGAAGGTTCCGTGGCCAGCAGCCTTCGAGGATGGGGATGTGCGGATGTTCCTGGAGGAGTTCGAGGATGTGGCGGAGTTGGCCGGAATACGGACGGATCACGGCAAGTTGACGGCCCTCCGAGCGCTCCTCAAGGGTCGTGCGCGGGCAATGTTGGACGCAGCACGAAGAGGCCCGGAGAAAATGGAGTGGGCCGCCGCGAAGAACGCCCTGATCGCGGGCTTTAACACCCCGGCCGACCGCCAGGAGGCACTCCGTCACTTCAAGAAGGCGCAGCTCGGAGTCGGTGTGGACCCACTTTCGCATGCCGTGGCCCTGCGTGGGTTATTGGATCGCGCACTACCGACATTGGATGAGAATGCTCGCTCG